GACTTCTTTCCTTTTTCCTAAACTCTTTTGTCTATTCATGGGTCCCAAGATGTTTACTTCATGTCTGGTCTAGACTCTAGGCCTGGTGCCTTTTTAAAGCACTCTTTCTTGGATTTCCTCTTTAGGCTTATGTCACTGCTCCCTTCTGGGGAAGCCCCAATACCTTGGGTCATTACTTCTCTCCAGGGTAGAAGGAGCAGCTGCATTAGGATTGGCAGTCACCCCACAACAGGCCCAACTGCCTGAACCTTCTCTTCAGCTGCCTCTGGGAAGGCTACATTCTATATGCTTAAAGAGGTCTGGGGGTTTTCCCAAGGATAGCACCTGAGCCCCGGCTAACACCTTACTATGGTTCCATTAAAAGACAAAAGCAAAAACCCCAACTTTTAAAATTATGAACTTAATTACTGTTGTTCAATCATTCAGTTGTGTCTGAGTCTTTGTGACCCTGTGGACTATAACATGCCAATATTATCCATGCGGTTTTCTTGGCAAAGATACTGGAGTGTTTGGCCATTTCTTTCTCCGGTGGATTAAGGCAAACAGAGGTTAAGTGACTTGCCCAAAGTCACACAGCTAGTAAGTATCTGAGGTTAGATTTGAATTCAGGTCTTCCTGTCTCCAGGCTGTCTATTCACTGAGCCATCTAGCTGCCGTGCACTTAGTAGTCATCAATAAATTTGAATATTTTAATATACAAAGGACAAAAAAGAAGATTGAATATGAAACCATTAATCTACCACGTGCAGCTTTTCTTTTTGAGGCAATTGGGGTTAATTGACTCATCCAGGGTTACCACAGCTAGTAAGTATCTGAGGTCAGATTTGAACTCAGGTCCTCCTGACTCTAGGGTGCTCTATTTCACTGCACTACCTTGCTGCCCCTATGGACACCTTTAAAAAGCTTTAGCCAGATCAATCAACAAACAAAAGAGTACACGTCAGCTTTAACATAGTGGTGCCACTACTGCCTTTCTTGTTAGTATCCCCTCCTGAATTTCCCTCACTGCTGTGGATTTTTTGTTTTGTTTTGTTTTTAATTTTATTTTATTCTTTTCATTTAAAAATCTATTTTCTTTCCTTCCTACCTCTACCCACTCTTCCCCTACCTCCCCCCTCATAAAAAAAATCCTTTGTAACAAGTAAGCAGAGTTAATAAACAAATTTCTGCATTGGCCACACCTTCAAATTGATGTCTCAATCTGCATCCTAAATCCATCCTTCCTCTGTTAGGAGATGGGTAACACATGATATGTCCTCTGCAATTATGATTGGTTACTGAGTTGATCAGAGTTCTTATATCTTTCAAAGTTGTTTGTCTTTCGAATGCTTTTATTGTATAAATTGCTTTTCTGGTTCTGTTCTATTTGCATCTGTGCTGTGTATTTTATTTTATTTTTTAAATAATATTTTATTTTTTCCCAATTGCATGTAAAAATAATTTTTAACATTTAAAAAAAATTTGAGTTGCAAATTCTCTCCTTCCCTTCTTTCCCTCCTCCCTGAGACAGTAAGCAGTTTGACATATGCAATTATGTAAAACATATTTCCATCATGTGGAAGAAAACAGACAAAAAACCCACCATGAAAATAATACAGAAAGTGGAAAAATAGTGTGCTTCAACCTGCATTCAGACTCCATCACTTCTTTCTCTGGAGGTGGATAGCAGTTTTCACCACGAATCCTTTGGAATTGTCTTAGACCATTGCACTGCTGACAAGAGCTAAGTCATTCACAGTTGATCATCCTACAATATTGCTGTTACTGTGTACAATATTCTCCAGGTTCTGCAAAGTGAAGTCACTTTGTGTCAGTTCATATCAATCTTCTCAAGTTTTTCTGAAATTATTCTGCTTGTCATTTCTTGTTCTGCTGTGTATTTTTAGACATGTTTCATTGACGCTTCTTCCTTCCTTTTCTTTTCCTTTCTCTTCTCTTTCCTTCTTCTTCCTCTTATTCTTCCTTTCCTTTCCTTTTTTCCCATAGCCACTTTAGCCAGATCAATCAACAAACATTTATTAAGTGTCTACTATGTGCCAAGCAAAAGACGGTATGGTATAGTGGGTAGAGAGTTGGTCTCAGAGTCAGGAAGACCTGAGTTCAAGTTTCACCTCTGATATATGCTGCCTGTACTGAGGGTTCATCTGGGTTATGCTTGAAGACTTCCAAAGAGGTTGAAACCATTCTTCTTCTGAACTGCTTTAATTGCTAGAAATTTTTTCCTTGCATAAAGCCTAAATCAACTTCTCTGCAATGTCTACCGCTCCTAGATCTGTCCCTCATGGCCAAACTAGTCTAATTCCTTTTCCATTCAGATAACTGTGTACTGCTATCATTCCCCACCTCCACCCCCAAACTCCCACCTCAGTCTTTTCTTCTTCTCCCTAGTACCTTCATTTGATCCTTATATGACATGATCTCCAAATTCCTTTCCTCCTCAACTATCTATTTTTTTATGCATTTTATTTTTTAAATAATGAACAAGTTTCTTTTTTTTAACATTCTTTTTTAAATAAGATTTTGAGTTCCAAATTTTTCTCCCTCCCTCCACTCCCTTCTCCCTAAGATGGCAAGCAATCTGATATGTTATATATGTGCAGTCATGTAAAATATTTCCACATTAGTCATATTGTGAAGGGAGAAAGAGAACAAAAGGAAAAAACCACCAAAAAAAAAAAGAAAGTGAAAATAGTACGCCATGAGCTGCATTAAGACTCCATCAGTTCTTTCTCTGGATGTGGATAGTATTTTCCATCATGAGTCGTTTGGAATTGTCTTGGATCATTGTATTACAGAGAAGAGCTAAGTTAGTCATATTTACTCATCACATAATTCAACTGTCTTTTACTTTCCAAGAAGTTACTTTGTATTTACTTTTCATTGAGTTAATTTATCCTTGAACAATTTGTTTCCCCAATAGAATGTAAGTGACTTTTTTTTTGTCTTTTTTATATCCAGTGCCTAGCACAGTGCCTTCTAGTCAAAATCTACTTAATAAATGATTGTTGAATCCTTGAATGAATGGATGGATGGGTTTCTGCTTTTTTTATGTTCTGAAAATGTCACATGCAGAACTGGATGCAATAGGGGCAGACTAGATGACCCAGAAAATTCCTAGAGTGTCAGGCACTGGGTTTGGAGTATGTGTCTCTAGGAGTCCTTAGTCAGCTATCCAATAAGCAACTGAGCGTGTGTATGTGTGTGAACATTTATTAAGCACCTACAATATGCCAGGTACTGAGTCAAGAGCTGGGAGTTACAAAGAAAGGCAAAAGACAGTTTCTGTTCTCAAGGAGCTCACAATCTAATGGGGAGACAGCATGCAAATGACCACATACAAACAAGCTATATAAAAATAAATAGGAAATAAGAGAGGGAAGGCACTAGAATTAAGGGGGATCAGGAAAGACTTCCTGCAGAAAGTGGGATTTAACTGGTACTTGAAGAAAGCCAGGGATGCCAGGAAGTGGAGATGAGGAGGGAGAACATTCTAGGCATGAGGGATGGCCAGTGAAAATGCCCAGAGTTGGGAGATGGAGCATCTTGTTCCAGATAGAGCAAAGAGGCCAGCGTCACCTGATCAAACAGTGCATGGCAGGGTGGAGGGGTGTAAGGTATAAAAAGACTGGAAAGAAGGGAGGGCTGGGTCATGAATGTGTGTGTTTAGGGTGGGGGTTAGGGGGGTAGGGAACAAGAAATACAGTCAAGGAACTCAGCATCACTTCCCCTGAACTCCCTTGCCTCATGATATTTCTGTCTCCCTCAGGTTACAACCAGATTTTGGTCATTCCTGCAGGAGCTACCAGTATCCATATTGCGGAAGCCACAGCCAGCAGGAATTTCCTGGGTATGGAGGAACAGGTCCTTTAGCTGATTTTGCCCTCATACTTCCCTGAGGCTAATCCCTAGGGAGAATCTGGCTTCAGGGTCAAATCCTGGTATCAGATGTCCAAACCGAGTACGCTGTACTCCTGGGTTGGGGGACTAGGACATAGGGGAAGAGAGGAGGCATAGTCAGAGATGTAAGACATCAGCTCTTCTCTCCCTAATCCAGCATGGGACTTTTCTGGCCATTCCTTTCTTCCTTTTTTTCCCCCTTCTCATCCCACAGCAGTGAAAAATGTGCGGGGGCAGTACTACCTGAATGGCCACTGGACGATTGAGTTTGGTCGGGCCCTGCCAGTGGCCAGCACCATCCTTCAGTATGAACGAGGGTCTGAGGGGGACCTAGCACCCGAACACCTGCACGCCCGGGGCCCTACCTCCGAGCCCCTGGTCATTGAGGTGGGTGGAGCCTATGGAAATCATTGGTTCTCTCTGTCCCCCACCCACTGAAGTAGGGATGATGCTTGGTTTGTTAAGAGGCTAATGTCTACACTGAGAATGTGGAGGGCTTCATTATGTCTACTATGACAATAGGGCTTCACATGGGAGCATTTATTCACCCCTTGGTATTTGTCCTGGGAGTAGCAGTCATGTTCACCTAGGGCAGAGGTTCTTAACCCATGCTTTGGTTTTAAGAAACATTTTAATAATTGTATTTAGATATAATTGGTTTCCTTTGTAATCCTATGCATTTTATTTTATGCATTAAAAGAATTACTCTGAGAAGGGATCCATGGTCTTCACCAGACTTCCAAAGAGTCCATGACAAAAAAACTTCCTTGATCTAAGAAACATTGGTGCAAGAATTGATCCTTGGCCTCTATGTCAAAAAGGAGAGGGGAGAAGGAAGGGAGAGAGCAGAACAGAATGAATAGGGAAGGTGGGGCCAGAATGGGTCCTAAGAATTGGCAATGGGCAGGATTTGAACCCAGGGACCCTGACTTTCAGGTACATTGCCCCACCCCATTTCTTAGGCCCATCTTCTCCACTCCAGCAGTAGCATGGACGGAGGCAGTGGAGGGGACTACAGAGAAATACCCAGTGGCCTGGGTTTGAGCCCTGTCTCTGAAACTTGCTGATTGTGGCAATTATGGGGAAATCATTTAGGTTTGGGGTCTCCTTATCTGCAGAATGAGGATCACAAATCTTGTAGGACTCACCTCCCCATTTTGTTGTGGGGCTCAAATGAGAGAATGAGAAGTACTTTGTAAACTTATATAAATGTAAGCTATTATGATTATTTCTGTTCCAAAACAGAGAAAGAGAGACAGAGACAGACAGATAGACCTACCCTAGGAAATCTGGGTCTTCTTCACTGGTTTGTACACAGGTGATTTCTTTCCTCCATTTCAGCTTATCAGCCAGGAGCCCAACCCAGGGGTGCAGTATGAGTACTACCTGCCCCAGCAGCCCCTGGACACTGGCTTCAGCTGGAATCATGGCTCCTGGAGTGACTGCACTGCAGAATGTGGAGGAGGTGAGGAGGGCAGAATTGGGGAGAGGTCACCTCAGAGCTGAGATGAGAGCGATCAAGAGGGGAGAGGAGGTTCCAAGGTATAGGGAAAGGCCACAAGGAAGGGTGAGGGCCCACAGGACCAGGAGGTATTCAGCTCCATGAACACCTAGGACCCTCCCCCCACCCACACACAGTGAGGTTGTTGAATGAGCCTCAGCTACACCTTTGGGGACACAGGCTTCCAGGCTGGATCCGGCTCACCTGGATACCCCTTCTTGGCAGGTTATCAGACCCGCCTGGTATTCTGCACCATTGACAATGAGGTTTACCCTGATCACATGTGCCAGCATAAGCCCCAGCCATCTGACAATCGCACTTGCAACCTTCAGGCCTGCCCACAAACCAAGCGGTGAGCTCTGCCCCTCCTACCTTCATTTGACCCTTCCTCCCTTCAGCAGAGCCCTGAGACAGAGGGTTTGGGCCACACAGTATCAGGGTTAGTCCCTTCTCCAGGATAGATAGTCTCATGGGGTTCAGGACTTGGGACAGGGACAAGCACAAGATAGGAATTACCCATCTAGGAGTAAGAATAGAGCATCTGGCAAATATTGCCCAGGGTGAAACATTGAGGTGCTGTGCCATGATAAAGACCAAGGAGGAGTGTCAGGGAAAGGGATCCTTTTTCTGACATCCTGAAATCCAACAGTTGATCAACAAGCTTCATTAAATGCTTTCTATATGCTAAGCACTGAGATACAAAGAAAGGCAAAAACAGTCCCTACCCTCAAGGAGCTTACATTCTAACGGGGAAGACAACATATAAACCATTAGGTAGATGGAAGATATATACAGAGTAGATGGAAGGGACTCTTGTGAGGGAAAGGCAAGATGGCATGAGCATCCTGATGTTCATCAGCTCCTGATATAGCCATCTCCTGTCCCCCTCTTTCTGCTGACGTGGGGTGAGGATGCCGAGCAGGAGAATAGACCTACAACTTCTAGGTCTTCCTCGGTAAAGAGGGATCCTTTTCAGAGGGATGCCAAGCGGAGCCTTCTGGAGCTCAAAGGGGACCATCTGAGATGCAAACCACCATCCTCCAAAGTATGCTTCCAGGGTCCTGAGACACCCAAGGCCCAGACTGTTCAGAGAGTGGGTCTGAGGCATATTCCCCACAGAGCCCCCTCTAGACAAGGGACTTGGAATCAGGGTAGGACTTGGTTGTGGTCTTTACCTTTCCTTCCTTCCCCCTCCCTCATCTGCCGTGTCAGACTGAAGTGGTAGCAGGAGAGGAATTCATACTTTTGTGCCTTAGAAAAGGGTCATCTGGGCCTTGGGTGTCTCGGGACCCTGGAAGCTTATTTTGGAGGATGGTGGTTTGCATCTCACATGGTCCCCTTTGAGCTCTAGACGGCTCTGGTTGGCATCCCTTTAGCCACAGTAAGGGTATTCTGTGGTGGGGATGTGGATGGATGGAAGCGTTTGTGCTTCTGAGGTCTCCCAACCTTTTATGATGCCCCATGGAGCCACTGGGTCAGAGAGTAACCTGGGGAACCTCCCTGGGAAGATAGGTGCCTGGTTGCATGGCCCTTTCTTCCACGGTCTCAGGAGGAGAAATGCTCTTCTTGGTCCTTGCAAACCCCTTTGTTCTGTGCACAAAGGATCTCATACCTCCACCCGCCGGGAGTGTGGAGCCATGGCCGAGCCCGAGGCATGTGTGGGAAAAGGTAACCAAGGGCAAGGGCGGGCACCCGGGAGTATGCTCTCTCTGTCAGCCTAGCCATAGACTGTGGAAGTTTGAAAGTCTGCCGTGGTGGGCCCACTGAGAGCATCCCTCAGCTGGGCAGGGGCCTTGGGCTGGTGCTGGGGCTGCTCTCGCTCTCTGACTCCTCGGTGGGGAAGGTGGCGGGCACTGGAGCTTTGCATGGCCACCGTGGGGTCCGGGAACCTGGAGGATCTTTGCTATTTCAAGCTGTCCAGGTCCTTTTAGCTTTTCTGTTGGCTGAGTTTTGTCTTCTGGGGAGATGCCAGTTTTAAAATCCAGTTCCAGGAACTCTAGGGGGTTGGGGGGTTGGAGCAAGGACAGGAATCTATGGGAGAGAAGGTGATACATTGAGATAAATAGCAATACTTTATAGATTCAGATTGTGTCCTAAGCCCCTCATTTTACAAAAGAGGAAACTGAGGCCTAGAGGAAAAAAGTAACAACCAAGTCTGGTCTAGAATCTAGATATGTGGTGAAAAGAGTACTGAACTTGGAGTTTGAAGGAGCTGGATGTGAATCTACCTCACTAATTAGCTGTGTGACCCAGCACAAATCCCTTAACCTCTTTGTGCCTCGGTTTCCTCATCTGTACAATGGGTAACAACACTATTATTGGTTAACATTATTAACAGGGTTGTTGTGAGGATCAAATGAGATAACATATATTAAAAAAAAAACCCTTAAATAAGATGCTATATAAAAGTTAGCTGCTATTATTAATCATTTAAGCAGCCAACAAGCATTTATTAAGCACTTACTGTGTGCCTGGCATTTTTCTGTGCAATGAAAGTCAAAAACACAGCCCTAGCCCTCAAGGAACTTAAATTCTAACTGAGGCTTCAACATGAAAAAAATTATACATAGAAGATATAAAGAGTATAAAGTGGAAAGTAACCAGGAAAGGTCACTCGAGGATAAGCACTAGCAGGGATAGGGAAGGGCAGAAAGGCCTCCTGAAAAAGGTGGGATCTGAGCTGAGTTTTATTTTTTAATTTTTTAATTTTTTTTAGTTAGGCAGTGGGGTTAAGTGACTTGCCCGGGGTCACACAACTAGTAAGTGTTATGTGTCTGAGATTGTATTTGAACTCGGGTCCTCCTGAATCCAGGGCCAGTATTCTATCCACTGTGCCACCTAGCTGCCGCTTGAGCTGAGTTTTTAAAAAAATGAAGTGAAACTAGGAGGCAGAGGGGAGCATTCCAGGTGTCGGGGACAGCTACTGAAAATGCATAGAGTGCAGAGATGGAGCATGTCATTCAGAGATCAGCAAGACCAGTGCCATTGGATCATAGAGTACGTGGAAGCAGTCTGTCAAATGTTTATTAAGAACCTACTATGTGGGGCAGCTAGGTGGATAGAGCACTGGCCCTGGAGTCAGGAGGAACTGAGTTCAAATCCAGCCTCTGACACTAGACACTCACTAGCTAGCTGTATGACCTGAGCAAGTCACTTAATCCCGATTGCCTTGCAAAACAAACAAACAAACAAAAAAAGAGTCTACTATGTACCAGGGTGCAAAAAGAGGCAAAAGACAGTAGTAGGAGCTCACAGTCTAATGGGACAGATGACAAGAGAATAAATGTATATGAACACACTATATATAGAATAAATGAGAAATAATTAAGAGAGAGTAGGCACTAAAATTGAGGGAGGAGAGTACAGTTATCTCTTCCACATCTGAGGGGGCGGCGTTAGGGACACAGCACCCCCTGGATCTGGAAAATCCCTGTAAAAGTTTTTGGCCTTCCCTTTGTACCAGGGAAGAAGTCTGAATTATTATGGTATTGAAAGATAAAATATGCTGATGTTATATAATGCTATGCATATATTTTCTGCATTTCTGAGTTTCTAAACTTTCTGTGTCATCTGCTAGCCTTCACATATTGTCTATGGTTTCTGCAAAACTCCCCCCAAATTCCCATTTAATCTCTTATTCTGACTCACAATACATTGAAACTGCAATGGTGAAAGTCTCGATGTGGAAGGGATAACTGTAATACGTTAAGAACACTGGAAAACTAGGAAAGAGGCCATGTTGCAAAGAGTTTAAAAAGCCAAACAATATTTTATATTTGATCTTGGAGGTAATAGGGGGCCATTGGAGTTTATTAATGTAAGGGGAAGAGATGATCAGGCCTGTGCTTCAGGAAAATCACTTTTTAAATATTATTATATACTCATAGCTTCATTTGACCCCCACAATAACTAGAGTAGAGAGCTGTGGTTATTATTATTACCCTGTTGTTTTTGTTATTACATGTATTACCATTTTACAGAGAGGTCAGGTGACTTGTCCAAAATCACACAGTAAGTTAGCGATGGGGCCAAAACTGGAATCCAGGGTTTCCTTCCTTTTCATCCAGTGCCTTCCCCATCATGCCATCTAAGACTGACTTTCACTGAAGATGTATGCATGAGCAGCCTCAGCATACGAGTGGCAGCCTCCTGTTTAGGGAGATGGGCAGGAACACGAGGAGGCTGGGTGACCGAGGGAAGGAGCTAGCTTCCTGCTCAATGCTTCTCCTGCATCAGAGCCCAGATGTGGTCTAGCTTCCTTCTCCCCTTGCAGCTGGAAGGCTGGGCCATGGAGTGCCTGCTCAGCCCCATGTGGAGGAGGTTCCCAGTCCCGTCATGTCTACTGTGTTGCATCTGATGGGGCAGGTGCAGAGGAGGCAACAGATGAAGCTTCATGTGCAGCCCTGCCAGCGAGGCCTCCAAACACACGGTCCTGCAACATGCACAGATGTGCAGCATGGAGTTCGGGGCCCTGGGGAGAGGTGAGTCCGATCAGAGACGGGGAGTCAGAGAGGAGCCCTGAAGGGCAGGGCCTGCAATGTGGAAAAGGAGGGCATACAGGGATGGGTTGAGACCTACTCTGTTCTGGAAGAGAGAAAAATGCAGAGTTAAGTGTGTATGTTTGTGTGTTCTTGACCATGCATTCTTGCACAGTGAAGAATTGACCATGTGTGGTTGGGGGGGGAGGAGCGTAGCAAGGAATTGATCGCTTGGTGCCTCTGGCCACAAAAGACCTTCTTTGCTAGGGCAGGCTGGATAATTTCCATAAAGCTGGCAAAGTTCCCTGAGGATAATCCACTAAATAGATGTAGTGGGAGACTGGCTGATGAGAGCCCAGTCCTTATGAGCATGTGCAGCCTTCAGTACATGTGTAGGTATTCTGTAACTGTTTCTTGTCAGCTCACCACATGGTGAAGAAACAAACTGTTGATTGGCTGCTGAACCAAAGCAGGCGTACATGCAGAAGGCGCTAAAAGAGAGTTCTTTATGGCTTGCCTGGTTGTGTTCAAGTGGGGAGGCAAGGACTGCTGTAAACCTCTGGCTGGGGAGAGAGCTATCTCCAGCTCTGCAAAACTGCCCCAGTCTTGGGCAGAATTAGGGTTATATAGGGTTTTGAGGATTGTCAGGTCACTGGGCTTAACACCTCAATATAATAAAAATGCAAAGTGGGAGGTGGGTAGCAAAAGAATACCAGCCTGAGTGCTAATCCCAACTAGCTGTGTGATCTTGGGAAATTCAGTCATGTTTGCCAAGAAAACCCCAAATAGGGTCACAAAAAAATCAAAGATACTGGAATGGTTTGCCATTTCTTTCTCCAGTTCATTTTATAGATGAGGAAACTGAGGCAAACGGGGTTAAGTGACTTGCCCAGGGTCACCCAGCTAGTAGGTATCTGAGGCCGGATTTGAACTCGGGAAGATGAATCTTCCTGATTGCAAGCCCAGTGCTCTGTCTCCACTGTACCACCTGGCTGTCCCAGGGCCCCAGTTACTCCATTTGTAAAATGAGTGGGTGGGATTAGGTGATATTTAGGATTCTTTCAAGCTCCAAGATTAACAGCTGATGATGATATTTAAGGAGAAAGGATTAGAAAGTCCATTAGCAGAGTTTGTATGATTCTGTAAGTCCTGGTTATCTCCAAGGCTTCCTAGCAGATGTCCAGCTGTCATTTGGGGTATGTGACTTGACCTCACTTACTAGTGGCACAGTGGATAGAGCGCTGGGCCTGAAGTCAGAGAGACCTGAGTTCAAATCTGGCCTCAGATATTTAACAGCTGTGTGGCCCTGGGCAAGTCACTTTACCTCTATTTTCCTCAGTTTCCTCATCTGCAAAATGGGGATAATATCATCACCATTATCATCATCATCATTATTGGGCAGCTAGGTGGGAAAGTGGATAGAACACCAGGCCTGGAGTCAGGAAGACTCATCCTCCTGAGTTCAAATTTGACTTGAAATACCTACTAACTGTGTGACCCTGGAGAAGAAAATGGCAAACCACTCCAGTATCTTTGCCAAGAAAACCCCAGATGGGGTCACGAAGTGGTGGATATGACTGAAATGATTGAACAACAACAAATAGTTATTAGATAATAATGTTTCTTCATTTGTAAAATGGAGAAAATAATACCTCTCAGAGTTTTTGTGAGGATAAAATGAAATAATAATTGCAAAGTGCTTAACATAGTGCCTGGCACATAGTAGGTGCACCATAGATGTTAGCTATTATTATTATAGACTAAGGTAACTCCTCCCAGGCAGGCAGAGGAATGAGAGGCATATGATAACAATTGGGTTTCCCCTATAGTGCTCCTCCAGCTGTGGCCCAGGGGTTCGGAGCCGGACTGTCACCTGTTGGGGTGATGAAGGCTCTCCCCTCCAGGATTTTGCCTGCTCCTCAGTGGACAAGCCTCCCCTGACTGAGGCCTGTATGGGAGAGAACTGCCCTCTTCAGGAACCTGGCTGGCATATTGGTGACTGGGGGCTGGTGAGTATCTGACCTTGCCCGTATTCTCAGCCCTGGCGTCTAGGTGCTGGTGTCTGTTCTCTAAAGGGTCTAGTGCTTGACAGATGTCTTTAAATGGCATGACTGAAGAGGAAGCACTCCCAGAATGCCTGAATCTCTCTGACTTTGCACAGATCAGCCCCCTGCCTCGAGTGCACACTCCTGCTTCTTAGAATCCCTCATGCCTGATGCCATCATCTATCCCAATGCATCCCTCCTGGCCAAATTACCTTGTATTTACTTTGTATGTATCTTGTATGTAATATGTGAATGTATTGTTTCCATGAGATGAATGAAGAGTCCAAGAGACGTGGGTTTTGGGTAATAATCAATTTATTAATTAGGCTAGCACATAATCAATAAATTGAGTTCAGTGGTTCTCTTGGAAAGACCCAGTATGGAGGCCACTTGAATGTTTAAATATCTTTGGAAGAGGGGTTGTCCCTGACGGGTGGAAATCAGCTCTGATTTGTTAACAATTAATGAGAGAATGAATATTATAATGAGAGATGGGCTTTTTCTAATGAGGGGTTGGGGTACCATGACTCTGATCAGGGCAGCACTCTTGGACAAAAACATTCATCTCTAGTCAGACTACCAAACAAAAGGATTTATTCTCCACCCAGTCCAACCAGAGTAGAACAATGGGAATTCCCCTAGATTAGATTCTTTTTACCCTTTGATCAGAAATAAGCTCTCCCAGCTGGGTGGGGATCTGCCCAAGATGGAGGAGAACATCTCATTGTAAGCCCTGTCTTCCACAAGGAAGAAAAAAGAGAAAAAAATTCTACTAATAATTGGTTATTAATAATCAAAAAGAGGATCTTTGGGTCCTGTGTATAAAATTGGTTATTCATGTAATAAGAAAATAATAATTTTTCTCACCCCTGACAGAATGTAACCTCTCTGAAGGCAGGGACTTTCATTTTTGTCTTTGCATTCCCAGTGCCCCATACAGTGCCTGGCACATGGAAGATATTTGGTAGATGTTGATTATTATTACTGCCTGTAAGTACTATTTCTTGTGAGTTGGGGGCCAGGTAATGATACTTTGCTGCTTGAAGGCCCCTTGGCCCCAGGTAGGACATGCTAGCTACCACGTCATCTTTCCTCCCGCTTTGGACAGTGTCAGTAAGCATTTATTAAGTGCCTTCTGTGTGCTAGGCACAGAGAAATGTAAAAGAGAGTCCCTGATCTCAAGGAACTTACAGTCTAATGAGGGAGAGGCAGTCTCCTTCATCCTCTTTATTTATAGAAAGTATTGTGACGCCCCTCCTCATGCCATTTGCCTAGGCCTGACATAAAGGGAACATGATTGAGCCTCAGGTCTTGTGCTGGGGTCCTTTCTCGTAGAATGTACTCAGATGTGTCCCCTTCCTCCATCCAGCCACTGGTATGAGATGCTCTTGCTTAGAGTCCTAAGAGAGTAAACTCGGCTGCATGCATATCTTCATATGTGCATATCAACTCTGTTTTTGTGTTTTCACACGTGTGCATTTGCATACATTTCTGGTTCTGCATGGGTCTTCTTGCATGACTGCATGTGCTGGCCTGAGTCTGTGCATTCATATGTGTGCACATATCTCCGGTTCAATGTCCTTGTGAGTTCTTCTGAGCACGTGTCTATGTATACCCACAGAGCTAGGAAGACCTAGGTTCAAATCCTGCCTCAGATACATACTAGCTCTGTGACTCAGGGCAGGCCGCTTGACCACTCTGATTCCTCATCTATAAAATGGGTTTGTTGGACTTATTGGCCTTGAAGGTCCCTTCTGGTTCTAAGTTGATGATCCCATGACCTTTGGTTCTGTGTATATGTCTGGTGGACGCATGTCTTCTATGTCTTTGTGTCTCTGTGTGTATGTGTCTGTATGTACCCAGCCACCTTTGATTCTGGGTGTGTTTCCTACATGTTTGTATGCACACACATCTCTGATAACATGCATTTCTCTGTGTGTCGGGCAGTTAGATGGGGCAGTGGATAGAACACTAGACCTACAGTCAGGAAGACCTGAGTTCAGATCCAGCACCAGACACTTACTATCTCTGTTTCCCTGGGCGTCACTTAACCTCAATTTGTTTCATCTATAAAATGGGGATAATAACAATACCTACCTTCCAGGGTTCAACTGAGGATCAACTGAGATAATATTTGTAAAGCTCTTCGCACAGTGCCTGGCACAGAGTAGGTATTATATAAACATTAGCTATCATTATATGTGAGTGTGGGTGCACATATCTCTTGTTCTGTGTTTTAAGGCATGTAGATGTGTGCACATCTTTCACAGAGTCACAGAATTTGGGAGTTGGAAGGACCCGAGTGACCACCCTGTCCATCCGTATACCAACGAATCCACACTATAACATAACCGACGAGGGGCTGTCCAGCTTCTGCTTGAAGGCCTCTAAAGAGAGAGGGGGAGCCCAGCATCCCCCTGCGGGGGCAGCCATTCTACTTATGGATGGTGGCTTTCCTAACATCAAGCCTCACTTATCTTTTTTTTTTTTTTTTCAGTTTTCATCCACTGTTTCTGGTTCTGACCTTTGGGGACCATCAGAATAGGCCTAGTCCCTCTTGTACAGGACGGTCCTTCACATATTTGAAGCTTAGCTCTTATGTCTCCTTCTGAATCTTTTTTCTAGATTAAACAAGCCTAGTTGTTTTTTTTTTCTGAGGAAATGGGGTGAAGTGACTTGCCCAGGGTCACACAGCTAGTAAGTGTCAAGTGTCTGAGGCCAGATTTGAACTCAGGTCTTCCTGAATTCAGGGCTGGTGCTCTATCCACTGCACCACTTACATGCCCCAATGCCCAGTTCTTTCAACTGTCCTGGACTCAAAATCCTTCACCAGCTTGGTTGCCTTCCTTTGGACTCTCTCCAGCTTATCAATATCCTTAAGTCACGATGCCTACAAATGAACAAAACACTCCAGGTGATATCTGAGTGGAATCAGAGAAAAATCACCTCCCTTTTGCTGGAATCTATGTCCCTCTTAATGTAGCCCAAGGGCTCATTAGCTTTTACGGTTGCCACATTTCACTCGTATTGAGCACAGATCCTTTTCACAACACTTCCCCCATCTTATAGTTGTGACACTGACTTTTTGTACTAAGTGTAAGACTTTACATTTATTCCTCCCAAATTTCATCTTATCAGATTCAGCCTCCTGCTGTGAATATCTGTTTGTATCCTCACTTTTCCAGTATGGGAGCTATTCCCTCCCAGTTTTGTGTCATCTGCAAATTTGTTGAACTCACTATCTATGCTTCTATCTAAGGCATTGATAAAAATGTTAAATATCACAAGACTGAACCCAGATTCCTGGGATACACCATTGGAGATTTCCCGCTTTGTTGACATGGAACCATTAACAACTCTTCTTTGAGGCCAGCCATCTAACCAGTTTTGAATCAATCTGATTGGATTATCCTCTAACCCATAGTTCTCCATTTTCTCCACAAGAATAGCATGAAATGCTTTATCAAAAGCTTCACTAATATTATGGGTGGAGCCAAGATGGCTGATTAGAGGCAGCCATCCATCTGAACTCTCCCAATATTCCCCTCTAAACAACTTTAAAATGACTCATCAAGTCAAATTTTGGAGTGGCAGAGCAAACAAAAGGTCGGAGTGAGACATTTTTCCAGCCTAAGACAATTTAGGAGGTTGGCAGGAGAAGTCTGTAACATTGGTGTGGGAATCAGTCCAGAGAATGGATGCAGCAGCAGTCATGGAGATGGTTGTGATGGCTTTGGGAGCTTTCAGCCTGGAGATGGTGAGGGGATCAGACGACTGGTCAGAAACAGATTACAGGGGGACCCTTTGCTGGTTCTGAGTGCAGCTGGCACTGACTGACAACTCTATTGTCCATACTCAGTTCTGGGTCACAGTTCTAGGACCAAAAGGGGCACAAACACTGCAGGGGAGCAAGGTCAGGACCAGAGCTCAGATCAGTTCCTTGTCTTGGATCTTACCACCTTGGAAGCACCAAAAACTTGCAGATCCCCTAGTTCTGAAAACTGCAGCATGAAAAAGCCTGAAGCTTGAGACAGTGCCTCCCTACCCCCACGTGAGCACAGCCCAACTTTAGTATAATATTTCAAAGTCTAGAAATAGACTGGAAAAATGAGCAAACAACAAAAAAAGAACTTGACCATAAAAAGCTACTATGATGGCAAGGAAGACTTAAGATATAAACTCAGAAGAAGACAATAATGTGAAAACAGTTACAAACAAAGCCTCAAAGAAAAATGCTAATTGGACCCAAGCCCAACAATAATTCCTGGGAGAGTTAAAGAAGATATAAGTATGGCAGAGGAAAAATTGGGAAAAGAAATGAGTGTAATATGAGAAAATTATGAGAAGAATATTAATAGCTTGATAAAAGAAGCACAAAAAAAACTTGAAAAAAATAACATCTTAAAGAACAGAACTGGCCTAATAGTAAGAGGCACAAAAATTCACTGCAGAAAAAAAATCCTCTAAAAAGCATAATAGGCCAAATGGAAAAGGAAGTACAAAAATTCATTGAAGAACTTAAAAAGTAGAATTAGGCAAGTAGAAGTTAATGACCCCATGAAACATCAAGAAACAAAACAAAGTCAAAAGAATAAAAAACAGAAGAAAATGTGAAATATCTCATTGGAAAAACAATTGACCTGGAAAACAGACATAGGAGAGATAATTTAAGAATTATTAGGCTACCTGAAAGCCATGATGAAAAAATAGAGCCTAGACATCGTATTTCAAGAAATTATAAAAGAAAACTACCCCAGTATCTTAGATCCAGTAGGTAAAATAGAAATTGAAAGAATCCACTGAGATTACCTCCTGAAAGAGATCCCAGAATGAAAACTCTCAGGAAAATTATAGCCAAATTCCAGAGCTCCCAGGTCAAGGAGAAAATGCTTCAAGTAGCCAGAAAGAAACAATTTCAATACTGTGAAGCCACAGTAAGGATCACACAAGATTTAGCAGCTTCCACTGTAAAGAAGCAGAGGGCTTGGAATATGATATATCTGAAGGCAAAGGAGCTAGGATTACAAGCAGGAATAACCTACCCAGCAAAACTAAGTATAATCCTTCAGGGGAAAAATGGATATTTAGTGAAATGGAGGATTTTGAAGCATTCCTGATGAAAAGACCAGAGCTGAATAGAAATTTTGACGTTTAAACACAAGACTCAAGAGAAGCATAAAAAGGCAAAAATGAAAGAGTAATCATAAGGGACTCAATAGAGTTAAACTAAGTTTGCATTCCTGTATGGGAAGATGATACATGTAAATCCCAAGAACTTTATCATTAGTAGGGCAGTTAGAAGGAGTTTACATAGACGGAGGGCATGGGTGTGAATCAATTATGTTGGGATGTTCTCTGAAAAAAAATAAATGAAGGGGTGAGAAAAGAGGATGTATGGGGAGAAGGGAAAGATGGAGTGGGGAAAGTTTTCTTACATAAAAGAGGCCTATAAGAAAGAACTTTTACAATGGAGGGGAAATAGGGGGTGCGGCGGGCAATGCTTAAACCCTACTCTCATCAGAATTGGTTCAAAGAAGGGAGAATATATATACACATAGTCAGTTGGGCCTAGAAATCTGTCTTACCCAATAGGGAAATAGGAGGAGATAAGGTAATAAGAGACAGGAGGAGGGGGCTGATGATGAAAGGGAGGGCAGATTAAGAGAGGAAGTGGTCAGAAGTAAAAAGACAGGATAAAAAGAGAGAGAAGGATAAACAAAAGAAAAAAGGATGGAAGGAAATACACAGTAATCATAATGAATGTGAATGGGATGAGCTCACCCATAAAACAGAAGTGGATACCAGGATGGATTAGAAACCAGAATCCAACAACATGCTTTTTGTAAGAGACACACTTGGAAGAGGAAGACACACACACAGAGTTAAAAGAAAGGGATGGAACAGAATTTGTTAAGCTTTAACTGAAATAAAAAAGGCAGGGGTAACAATCATGATCTCAGACAAAGCAAAGACAAAAATAGGCCTAATTAAGAGAGAGAAGCAGGGAAACTACATTTTGTTAAAAGGTACCATAGACAATGAAGTAATATAAAAAAAATTTAACGCAAATTTCTCTGATAAAGGCCTCCATTTCTCAAATAAAAAGGGAACTGAGTCAAATTTATAAAGAATGAGAGCCATTTCCCAATTGATAAGTGGTCAAAAGATATGAAAAGGCAGTTTTCAGAAGAAGAAATCAAAACTGTCTAATGCTCTAAATCACTATTGATTAGAGAAATGCAAATTAAAACAACTCTGAGGTACTACTTCATACCTATCAGAAATGACAGATGCTGGAGGGGATGAGGGCAAATAGGCACATTAATGAACTATTGGTAGAACAGTGAGTTGGTCCAATCATTCTTCAGAACAATGTGGAAGTATACCAAAGAATTAAGAAACTAAATACCTTTGACCCAGCAATACCACTAGCATGTCTATACACAAAAGAGATCAAAGAAAAAGGAAAAGGACTTCCATGTACAAAAATATTTATAGCAGCTTTTTTTCTTTTTTTGTGCTGGCAAAGAATTGGAAATTAAGGAAATGCTCATCAATTGGGGAATGGCTGAACAAGTCGTGGCATATAATTGTGATGGAGTACTATTTTGCTACAAGAAATGATGAGGGGGGTGGTTTAAAAGCCAGGGCAAAACCTATATGAACTGATGTAAAGTGAAATGAGAAGAACTGGGAGATCATTGTGCACAGTAACAGCAACGTTGTAATGATGATCAATTGTGAAAGACTTGGCCACTCGAATCAATACAATGACCCAAGACAATTCCAAAGGACTCATGATGAAAAAGATGCTTTCCAATGCTAGAGTTGTTTGTCCTTCATTCTCGAAGAGGATCATACCATGAGGAAGGTGATGTCGACTTGCAAGTGAATTGGATTTAAGTGAGGCAGGACTGTGCAAAGTCACCAGCCTCACTTTCTCCTCCAGAGTCATCTGGGTCCAGTGGCAAGATATCATCTAATACCAAAGAGAGTGCAAATTGAAGTATAATTTTTTTGCTTTTTTGTGATATGGTTAATATAGAAATATAGAAACACAGACATATGTTTTTCATGATTTCACATGTATAATTGATATAATTTTTGCTTGCCTTCTCAGTGGATGGGGGAAGGTTGGAAGAGAACTTGGAACTCAAAAAAAGAATGTTAAAAATAAATAATAAAAATTTTGAGGGCAAAAAAAAAAAACCAAACAAACCCAACAAACCAAGCTTTGCTAAAATCTAATCAAACTATATCCACAACATTCCTCTCATTTACTGGTTTAGTAATCCTTTCCAAAAAGGAAATGGGGCTAGTCTGGCATGACTTGTTCTAGATGAAGCCGAGCTGTCTCTTGGTAATCACTTATTTCCTTTCTAGATATTTGCCAACCATCTATTTAATGATCCTTCCTAGAATTTTCATAGGACTCAAAATCAGGCTCACTCACTTATAGTTTGCAAACTCTATTCTCTTCTTTTTATTTTATTTTTTTAAATTAAGACCAACAGTTGTCTTTCTTCAATCTTGTGGCATATCTGCCATTTTCCATGATCTTTCAGATACTACTCATAGGGGCTCAGCAATAATGTCTGCCAGTTTTTCTCAGGATCCAAAAATGTAGTTTATCTGGGTCAGGTAACTTGACTTCACCAAGGGCAAGTAGACACTCTCTTACAGTCTTTTTACTTATTTTGGGTATCAAACTCCTTGTTAATTATTTCCTACGTAAAAGCCATTCTCTTTTGCAGAACAAACCTAAACAGTGTAGGATTTGAGCAACTCTTCCTTCTCTCTGTGGTCACTTATCATTATCCTTACCCCCCCCCCCCAACATGTGCTCTTCAATCCAATTACCTAGCCTCCTGGCTGTTCCACAAACAAGACACTGTCTCTCAGCCCCAGGTGTTCTCTCTGGTTGTCCTACCTTCCATAGGAAATCTTTCCTAACCCTTCTTAATTCCAGTGCCTTTCCTCTGTTAATCATCTCCTATTTATCCTATCTAGCTTGCTTTGTACATATTTGTTTGTATGTAGTGTCACCCATTAGACTGTCAGCTTCTTGAGGTCAGGAATGGTCTTTTGCTTCTTTTTGTATTCCCAGTGTTTAGCTCAGTGCCTGGCACAGAGTAGGTGGTTAATAAATGTTGATCGATTCATTATCCCATCTACCCCAAGCAAAGGTTCCCTCTCTTCTTTCTCTCAATATAGGTTTTTAAAACCACTTTTTTTGTTGCCCTTAGTTTCCCTTACCATCTTCAGCTTATTCTGAGTTTTCACATTCCTGACACTATTTTTATATTAATCTTTTTTTCTTTTTTTTTTTTTTTTTTTTTTTTTTTTTTTTTTT